GAAGCTCATACAAACTTTAATATATTTCAACAATTTTCAGGCACCTATATCACCTCTTTTTCAGACCTGGAATGTTAATAACTAATGTAGTATTATTAAAACAATAAAAAATAAATAAATAAAAATCAGGGATTGCAGGATTTTGACAAGAGGTAATCATATCACAAGCTTCTTTTTCATGAATTAAAAAAAAACTTTCATTTCTCCAATTGTGTTAGTATGCATAAAAAGCTATACCTATGACACTTTAAGTACAGATATAACCAAAAAAACAGATAGACAAAGACAAGACTATAAATTCTGAGAAATTACTAGTTATGAATAACATCCTAATCGATACAAAATCACAAGAACTGCTTCAGCCGCATTCTACGAAGAAATCACTGGGTACTAAACGCATATTCATCCCAAAGAGTATGAAAAGTTCATTACCTATAAAATACATTCAAATATCTTCACAAAACTCTCACATCATATATTTCTTCATTTTTTGGCAATGGAACTCTCTTCATTTTTTTAAATTCCAAGAGTTCTCCTTACATAATTTAACCATAAATAGAAAAATGCATGTGCGACGGCCTCTTATGAAAAGACGACTCCACTTCTAGGAAGAACTTCAAGCACTGAGGACCATGCGCACAAACTCCTCGTAGTTGACGTTCCCTTGGGAGTCCTCCTGGCCAGCGAGGAGCTGTTCCACTTCCTCGTCTGTCAGCTTCTCACCTAGAAAAGAGAGAGAAAATCATGATATGGTTTATTGGGAGTGCAGAAGATGAAACTTGATGCACTAATAACTTTGAATTAGAAAAGAAAATAATGATTCTATTCACTGTTGTAGACATAACTAACCAGTTGCCAATGGGGATGGGCTGTACATATATGCAATATCCATTATGAATTTACTTTAGTAAATGTATTTACATATAGACGGCTCCAAAAGTCTGACTTTCCAAAATATTTTTTTGTTATTGTTGTTGCTACTATAACAATATCACGATCATAATGGCAGTAACAATAATAAAAGTACTGATATTCACAGCAATAGAAAAACAAACATTTTCCCTGAAAACTCCAGGAAAGGAGATATCAGGTGAAGTCACATAAGTGTATTAATTGCCTCCATGGTGGCTGAGTACTTGCGAAGCCATCTATGTGTAAACATCTCACAAAACAAAAATAGTGTGGATATTACACTTCCCTAGTGGCAAAAGTAATGATTAAATGCAATATACAAGATTATTTTCAATCAAACATATACAAATCTAAATAATACAACCAAAGGATTCATATAATTTCTATAATAATTTCAGCTGTAGTGGAGTAAGGTCTATCAATAAATATTAATGCATAAGCTCCTCACAAATTACCTCTGCCACTTCAGGTATGTATCATAATCTGTATCATAAACATACTAAGCAAAATCTACCCCAGATGAAGACTGATCATGTGCGTAAAATCAAAATGGAAACGAAAGTCAGGGTGTAATAATCCACTGCAGTGAGATGGCATGGTACACATCCGATGTCCACTATGATTTATGTTTAGTGCGTTTATACATACGATGGTTTAATAAGAACTTAGTCTCCATAGAATCAATTACTAGTTCTACATATCTCACCCTTTCATGGAATTTTGGAAAGATCCTTCTTATTCTTTATTGATATTGGTACTTAAATAATATTATAATCATCAAGTCAATAACAACAGTAATATCAATATTAACAGTATTAGAAAAAATAAATAAAATAAAAAAATAAAAGGTATTTAAGCATTGGGGAAGCCAAGTGATGTCACACAGGGCTTCATAGGTTCTCATATTTCAAATTATTCACCTGAGCAGCCGACTGCACACAGATGCTATACAGCGCAGTATAGCATAGGTAAAAGCCACCATCACATTATTAACATCAAACATTGTAATCCAAATATACAACAAGAATGCATCCACTTATCAATATCCTTATCAATACATCCCTTTTTGAATTATAAACTGATGGTTTCTTATCTAGATTTCATATATTTCCTTATTTTTGGAAGCACTGCAAAACCAATACCAGTCACATTCCACTGAGGTACAATTATATTTAAAACCTTGTGTAATACTAGTGTAGTCTAAACTATATAAAAAAGGAAACTTCAAGACCTGTTTTCCAACTGTTTTGATAAAGATTAAATACTTGTAAACACAGCATATTGCAATAAGATATATCTTGGACAGAAAAAGGAGAGAAATCAGCCATTAATTAAGAAGACATATGTAGTAGACCTGATTTTAGCATTAAGTCCTGGTACATTTTACTGAAAGTTTGTGAAGATTATGAAAAATCCTGTTAGTATATTCTAAAGTTCATAATACTTGCAACTGGGATGAAAGCTACAGTAACTCCTAACTAACTACTACTAAATCCTGTCACTCCTCATTTAAAGAAAATTGTTAATGCCTCATCTACAATACAGTGATTAATCTGTCTCCAGCTAAAATTAACCAATCAACTTTGTATTCCCATTCAAGATAAGTGGTTCAAAAAGATCTTGCAAAACTTAATTTAGCCATACATGGGAAGAGTCAACTTGTTAAGTACATATACTAAAGCACCACCTGCGAATGAGAAACCTGTCTACATGTTGTAAAGACATCCTTCTCTTTATTGACAAAGTAGATCAAGTCCTAGAAATTAGTGAGACATAATACAGAAAAGCAAAGTTAATTTCAACTTTGAGTAGCATTACTGTCAAGGGACACTTGTTAACCCTTCAAACTTAAAAAAGGACTATTTGTAACAGTGGACAAATCAGTGGAGACAAAACTGATAAGTTTAGAACCTGCTTATAAGATCTGTCAGGATGATCACTTTTAAATGCTCAGAAAAGCCACTGTCATATCTGCAACCCTGATGAAATGCAATGCATATGATCTGGACTGGCAGCACATACAGTACCAGAATATGACTTACACCCAGATAATAATGACAATTATAATACAATTCATTCAGTTTCCCTACAAATCTAATAGGAATTGCAATTTGAAAATTACATAAATTCAATTATAGTACCATATATCTATGACTGTCTGTGACCTATTTCTTTAAAACATATCAATGGCTAGAGTAAACTACCTCTGTCACATGTCAACCCCTTAATACACTTGCCAGCCCCAAACTGAACTACAAGCAATGATTGCTCTTTATTTAATACCCGGTATATTAGCAATAATATACTACACGGATATATGGAAACTCATACATGACATTCTGCCATCTGCTGATTAATTACTGCTTATTTGTGCTGTCACACAAGCTACACATAATACTTATGTTTTCAGTATTAATAAATATAACATACTTATGGATGAATATAAGTAGCCTATATTACCAGAAACGTTTTTTACCAACAGCACACAGCGATGGAAGGGTTAAGGGATGGAACAGGATGAGTGCAGACACAAAAACAGAAAAGAAAGAAAGAAAGAAAGAAAAAAAAAAGTACAAGACAACAGGATGAGTAACATTTTACAGTGCTCAATATCAAAATCTTTTGGTACAGAAAAACAAAAAAACAAAAAATTGCAGAAAAGAAATCATGATTATGCTCTCTAAGACCACTTCCTGGCAAGATCTAAGGAATGAAAATACCAAGTCAATTCCAGTATCAACATATGCTATGAAAGTGCAACAACAAATTGACATCAAACCAATATGCAACTTTGTTAAATCTGCACTATAATTACAATAATGTGTCCGCCATGTACATCGGAAAAAAGATAAAATCATTATACTGTTCATATACCCAAAATCCATTTTGACGATAATTCTAATTAGTTGGTACTGCACCATCTGGAGGGTCTTGTACAAAAATTGCATATTCAAAAATATATCTAAAAACCTTCCTTTTTCCCTTAATCCATGACTGCAATATTTTATATATACACTTAGAACATCCCTTACACAAAAAATGGTTATATTTTTATTGCCCTATGATTTCTTTCTAGAAATCAGAGTAATTTTCGTGGGTCATTTTCTATAGTGTATATAAAATGATGAAAATAGAAAACTGGTTAGCAGGAGTCATACATAAAAAAAGACAAAGAAAGAGAAAAACAAAGATAAAAGAAAAAATGCATCTGAACCCATCAGATTTTACTCCAATGCCCTAATTCCTCTCGACCAAGACATACCGAGGTGAGTCATGAGATGGCGGAGCTCAGCAGAGGAGATGTAGCCATTGCCATCCTTGTCGAAGTGACGCAGGCCCTCGATGAAGTCATCTGCGGTGTCGACTGGGCGCTGACGGGAGATGGTCTGCATGATGGGCAGGAACACCTCGAAGCTGATGCGCTCATCTATGGGGAAAAAATGTTCACTGTGACAAGAGAATATTGTATATGCTTTTTATTTTTTCTCTGATTACATATGCCTATGCATAGAACAGAGTATTAGCATAGAAAATGAGAGAAGAAGAAAAAAAAAAGAGAGACACAGGCAGATAAAGAAAGGAAAGCAGATACATGGATAGACAGCAGGGCAGAGATTACAAATGAAAGAAAGATAAGGTAATTGTTGAAGACCGCGACGCACCCTCGCAG